CCATGTGAGTGGAAGAACCTAGCTCAACCATGTGAGAGGAAGAACCTGGCTCAACCATGTGAGTGGAAGAACCTGGCTCAACCATGTGAGTGGAAGAACCTGGCTCAACCATGTGAGTGAAAGAACCTGGCTCAACCATGTGAGTGGAAGAACCTGGCTCAACCATGTGACTGGAAGAACCTGGCTCAACCATGTGACTGGAAGAACCTGGCTCAACCATGTGAGTGGAAGAACCTGGCTCAACCATGTGAGTGGAAGAACCTGGCTCAACCACGTGAGTGAAAGAACCTGGCTCAACCATGTGAGTGGAAGAACCTGGCTCAACCATGTGACTGGAAGAACCTGGCTCAACCATGTGACTGGAAGAACCTGGCTCAATCATGTGAGTGATAGAACCTGGCTCAACCATGTGAGTGGAAGAACCTGGCTCAACCACATGAGAGGAAGAACCTGGCTCAACCATGTGACTGGAAGAACCTGGCTCAACCATGTGAGTGGAAGAACCTAGCTCAACCATGTCAGTGGAAGAACCTGGCTCAACCATGTGAGTGGAAGAACCTGGCTCAACCATGTGAGTGGATGAACCTGGCTCAACCATGTCAGTGGAAGAACCTGGCTCAACCATGTGAGTGGAAGAACCTGGCTCAACCATGTGAGTGGATGAACCTGGCTCAACCATGTCAGTGGAAGAACCTGGCTCAACCATGTGAGTGGAAGAACCTGGCTCAACCATGTGAGTGGAAGAACCTAGCTCAACCATGTGAGTGGAAGAACCTAGCTCAACCATGTCAGTGGAAGAACCTGGCTCAACCATGTGAGAGGAAGAACCTGGCTCAACCATGTGAGAGGAAGAACCTGGCTCAACCATGTGAGTGGAAGAACCTGGCTCAACCATGTCAGTGGAAGAACCTGGCTCAACCATGTGAGTGGAAGAACGTAGCTCAACCATGTAAGTGGAAGAACCTAGTTCAACCATGTGAGTGGAAGAACCTGGCTCAACCATGTGAGTGGAAGAACCTGGCTCAACCATGTGAGTGTAAGAACCTGGCTCAACTATGTGAGTGATAGAACCTGGCTCAACCATGTGAGTGGAAGAACCTGGCTCAACCAAGTGAGTGGAAGAACCTGGCTCAACCACGTGAGTGGAAGAAGCTGGCTCAACCATGTGAGAGGAAGAACCTGGCTCAACCATGTGAGTGGAAGAACCTGGCTCAACCATGTGAGTGGAAGAACCTGGCTCAACCATGTGAGTGAAAGAACCTAGCTCAACCATGTGAGTGGAAGAACCTAGCTCAACCATATGAGTGGAAGAACCTAGCTCAACCATGTGAGTGGAAGAACCTGGCTCAACCATGTGAGTGGAAGAATCTAGCTCAACCATGTGAGTGGAAGAACCTAGCTCAACCATGTGAGTGGAAGAACCTGGCTCAACCATGTGAGTGGAAGAACCTGGCTCAACCATGTGAGTAGAAGAACCTGGCTCAACCATGTGAGTAGAAGAACCTCTCTCAACCATGTGAGTGGAAGAACCTGGCTCAACCATGTGAGTGGAAGATCCTGGCTCAACCATGTGAGTGGAAGAACCTAGCTCAACCATGTGAATGGAAGAACCTAGCTCAACCATGTGAGTGGAAGAACCTAGCTCAACCATGTGAGTGGAAGAACCTGGCTCAACCATGTGAGTGGAAGAACTTTGCTCAAACATGTGAGTGGAAGAACCTGGCTCAACCATGTGAGTGGAAGAACGTACCTCAACCATGTAAGTGGAAGAACCTAGTTCAACCATGTGAGTGGAAGAACCTAGCTCAACCATGTGAGTGGAAGAACCTGGCTCAACCATGTGAGTGGAAGAACCTAGCTCAACCATGTAAGTGGAAGAACCTAGTTCAACCATGTGAGTGGAAGAACCTAGCTCAACCATGTGAGTGGAAGAACCTGGCTCTACCAAGTGAGTGTAAGAACCTCGCTCAACCATGTGAGAAGAAAAACCTAGCTCAACCATGTGAGTGGAAGAATCTGGCTCAACCATGTGAGTAGAAGAACCTCTCTCAACCATGTGAGTGGAAGAACCTGGCTCAACCATGTGAGTGGAAGATCCTGGCTCAACCATGTGAGTGGAAGAACCTAGCTCAACCATGTGAATGGAAGAACCTAGCTCAACCATGTGAGTGGAAGAACCTAGCTCAACCATGTGAGTGGAAGAACCTGGCTCAACCATGTGAGTGGAAGAACTTTGCTCAAACATGTGAGTGGAAGAACCTGGCTCAACCATGTGAGTGGAAGAACGTACCTCAACCATGTAAGTGGAAGAACCTAGTTCAACCATGTGAGTGGAAGAACCTAGCTCAACCATGTGAGTGGAAGAACCTGGCTCAACCATGTGAGTGGAAGAACCTAGCTCAACCATGTAAGTGGAAGAACCTAGTTCAACCATGTGAGTGGAAGAACCTAGCTCAACCATGTGAGTGGAAGAACCTGGCTCTACCAAGTGAGTGTAAGAACCTCGCTCAACCATGTGAGAAGAAAAACCTAGCTCAACCATGTGAGTGGAAGAATCTGGCTCAACCATGTGAGTTGAAGAACCTAGCTCAACCATGTGAGTGGAAGAACCTGGTTTAACCATGTGAGTGGAAGAACCTTGCTCAACCATGTGAGTGGAAGAACCTGGCTCAACCATGTGAGTGGATGAACCTGGCTCAACCATGTGTGTGGAAGAACCTGGCTCAACCATGTGTGTGGAAGAACCTGGCTCAATCATGTGAGTGGAAGAACCTGGCTCAACCATGTGAGTGGAAGAACCTAGCTCAACCATGTGAGTGGAAGAACCTGGTTTAACCATGTGAGTGGAAGAACTTTGCTCAATCATGTGAGAGTAAGAACCTGGCTCAACCATGTGAGTGGAAGAACGTAGCTCAACCATGTGAGTGGAAGAACCTAGCTCAACCATGTGAGTGGAAGAACCTGGTTTAACCATGTGAGTGGAAGAACTTTGCTCAATCATGTGAGAGTAAGAACCTGGCTCAACCATGTGAGTGGAAGAACCTGGCTCAACCATCTCTCTGCAACTTTCCAACTTGATAAGTAAGATTCACGTCCAACAGTTACGTATCTTTATTCTGATACGATTCGCATACAAATTAGGAATCTTCTGCCGCCTCCTTTGTATCCCACTAACGAAGCTTACTGTATAGGGAAAACGTTTCGGAATAAGATTACTTAATTGCTGCATATTTGTCTTATAAACTTGTTGGTAGTGCATAAAATTATTATATTCACACACCTTAGTACCAGGCGTGTCATCAAGTCTCTGCCTTAAGTATTAATTCTAAGTGTTAGTTGTAAGTTGTTAGAAAGTATAGCACCCAGGGTAAGATTTTACTCTGTCGGTAAACAAGGAATGTAGAGTTAAGTAGTGTAGAAGGTGTCCAGTGACATTCTACTGTCAGGTTTACTTTTCACAGCAAGAGGTTTACTCCAGAGGCCACAGCAAGAGGTTTACTCCAGAGGCCACAGCAAGAGGTTTACTCCAGAGGCCACAGCAAGAGGTTTACCCCAGAGGACCATCCGCCTTTGATTCCTTGACGAGAACCATCGTCACTTTTTCCCTGCCGGAGAGGAAAGAAATGACAATAATAATAATATAATAATGATCTTTAATGATCTACAAATATAATGATAATGATCTTTAATGGTCTGCAAATGTAATAATAATTATCTTTATTGATCTACAAATATAATAATAATGATCTTTAATGATCTACAAATGCGTGTACAAGGTATACAGGCCTAGTTGACAATAACATACTACGGCACAGATGTGTCCCACACCAGTTAACTAACACCCAGGTTCCTGTTTTACTGATAGGTGAACGTAGACAGCAGGTGCCTTAAAGAAACAAGTTCTAATGTTTCCACCCGTACCGGGGATCGACCACTGAGCCTTTGTGTGCGAGTTGAGTGCGCTAGCAATCGAGCTACGGGACACCCATGGAATAACTGTAAAATTACCAGAAAATGTAACTGCTGCTCATGTGTTTTCCTCCTGTGCCAAGTTTTTAAATTAAATTGGTCTCCATGAGTTAAATGAGAAATAACTCTTATGATCAAAATTAAATCAGTGTTAAATCAGCTTAATATTCTTTTATATGCCCTCAAGACCCTTGTTAAATATTTACATGTTATTTACACTAAGCTTATTTCCTGTTTTTACTTTCTTAATAGCTGGTCAATTTTACATAGAGGAAATTTTAAATTGATTTTCGCTTGTGTATGTCCCAATTTGCTTTTTTTTTTGTTAGAAACTGGAAAAATACAATAATGGTTTTCAGGAGATAATTTCTGAGTGTCGCATTTGATGATCTTCAAGTTTAATGTACTTATGTATTTTAGGGTATTTCTTTTTTTTATGTCTTTGGAAGTTTGGAATTAGATTTATTGATACTAGTTTCTATATGATAACCTGTGAATGCCTCTTCTGTCTCTCTTCATATTTTCAACTTAAGCCTCACTCTGCACTGTTCCAGTCACGTGCATTGAGGCGCATGGGACTAGGATTATGGAATACATGGATACCTCCATTGGATCGCATAACGACCGAAATGCCGCCTCTTGTTTCACTTAGCGTCCCACCATTCATCAGTAGGAACCTATGTCTACATTTATTTACTTGGCAATGTATTTTGCCTATAATTGTAACACATCCGCCTTGTTATTCATTCATTAGGTTAATGTTTTTACAATTTACATAAAACTACCTTAATACTTTAAAATGTATTTATTAACATGAATAAACATATTTTAAGTTAAATATAACTTCAGTATAATATATTACTGAACAAAGTTACGTATTTAGAGAGTAGTTTCTGGTACATAATTTTGTAATATATTTGTGTGAAAATACGAGAAAACAGTTTCCACACAAGAGCTGTCATTAAATAGTAGCGCGAAGGATAATTTATTTAACTAAATTTTAACTGGAATATTTTGTTTGTATACAGGTCCTCTAGTGAACGTGACAGCGGTGATGGAGGGACATGTATTGCTGCCCTGTGACGTCTCCACTACCCTGGAAGACGACCACCCTGTCCTTGTAATGTTTTACAGCAATGATTCAGGGACTCCTATCTACACGTAAGTACCTCATTCCCTGCTCCTCACCAGTCACCGGCTCTTAACAACAAAAGCCACAACACCGTTGCTAGATTAATTCACAGTTAAGCAAAATTCGGGTGCTACATTTTGCACCTAGCCTACAATGCAGCAGTTGAAATATTTACATCGTAACGCACAATGTCGTAGCTGGAACTATTCACAACTCACAAAATCAGAGCTGGAATAATCTTCAGCCAAGCCACAAATCATAACGAGAACACTTTCATGTTGACCCAAAATTTTGCATCTACAACAATTCACAGCGAAGTCAAGTAAAAGAACACATTTTGCTCTCCGGAGCTTTCGTCAGGCCAATACAAATTGGCTTGACATAGCTCCTGGAGAGCGAAACGTTTCCACAATGAAACGTAGCATTATTTGCACATGTGTCCTCTTGTCAAGCATATTATTGGTAAATCTACAACCATAACAATTTACATCTAGCCTATAATAGCACAATGGGGAAGGTTTATAACTAAACCACAATAAAATAACTACAAAAATCACCAACTAACCCATAGCAATATTAAAACCGATCTCAATATACTGTCGCGGGAACAATTCAGAACAACTCCACAATACCGTGATTGAAACAATTCACAGGTAACCAGCAATCATATTACTGTGATTAATTCATAACCAATCTACAATACCTTAACTAATATACACTGCAGTTGTGATACAAGTGTCTTAGATAACCGACAGGTTGAAGAATGGCTCAACCATGCCAGTGGCTTCTTCAGTCCCATACAGAGTAGAACGTGGAAAAGGAAGAGGAATTGGAGGTAATTAGTCCCTCAGCTTGGAGTCTATGTTTTCAGTTCATCAGTCATCAGAAAAATACAGCATACGTGCGGAGAAGTGCCTTATATACTGTAGCCAGATGAGCTGAAGTAAGAGAAGGCAGAGTCACCAGTGGAAAAATCCACTAGTGTTCAGTGAGCAAGTCATGCGTATTGTTCAGGCAGGAGTTAATGCATTTCCTGTATCATGATAGCAAGATGTTGCTGTGTCTAAGTCCGTTCTTCCCTATATTGCACTGAAGCCACCGTTGTCTACCTTAACTACTACACTACTACAACTACTACTACTGTTAGTGCTACTGCTGCTGCTACTACTACTTACTACTACTACTATTATTACTACTACTACTACTTATTATTACTACTACTACTACTTGTTATTATTACTACTACTACTACTTATTATTACTACTACTACTACTTGTTATTATTTCTACTACTACTACTTGTTATTACTACTACTACTACTACTATTTATTATTATTACTACTACTACCACCTATTATTACTACTACTAATAGTACTACTACTACTTACTGTTAATATTACTTACAAGTACTACTGCTATTACTGTCATTAATACTAATACTTTTACTACTACCATTAATACTGCTACTACTATTATTACTACTACGACAACGTAAAACTACTTCTACTTACTTCTGCTTGCTACTACTGAGTTACAACTTTTAGGTCAGAACTTAAATAAAATGTTCCTGGCTCCTAAAGGCTGCTTACACTGCTGTCTAGGGGCATTTAAATTACACTAAAAAAACACACCCACTCTAGGGCCAGCATGCACTCATGTTAAATAATGAAGCATGAGTGCAAATAATTAATATATTATATGGAAGGACAAGCAAACTCACCTAATACAAAAATATATCTATATTAATAGTAACATTATACAACTTACACTCTACTACAAAAAAGCACCATACTCCAGTTCACATTAGCTCATTAGCACACTGCTACTGATGAGTTGAACAAAATATATCATCAGGGACGCACCATGACATACATACCAACCTCTTCACTTCTGCCTGGTAGACTATACCAGCAGGTAAAACACCATACAGTACTCTCGCATAAACAGGCCTCTGCATACTAGGGCCTTACAGGTAAACATGAGAGCAATAAAATATCATATGGTATAAACTTGCAAAAAACACTATCCCTACTAAACACATACCGTGATGTATTAGCACATCTTGTTGCAAGTGTTGTGCTCCACTGACTGACACCGCACCTCATCTGCTCCTGTCTCCTGGCCACTCAACTTCCCGGGAATAATACGCGTTCGGATTCAGTACAAAGCCGGAAAATGAAACATGGAGAGTTATTTCTTACATAAATTTTACTGTAGCACACTGCGTAACATACTGCTATTATTGCTATTAATATTTATACTATTACTACAACTACAACTACTCTTACTACTCCCACTACTACTGCTACTACTACTATTGGTTAATACTACTGCTACTGCTACTACAACTACTACTTACTACTACTACTATTACTACTAGTACTTACGATTTCTACCTCTACTACTATTACTGTTATTTTACGACTACTACCACTTACTACTGCTACTTACTACTATCACTGCTACTACTAATATGAATACTACTACTTACTACTACTATTACTACTACTATTACTACTACTAATATCTCTCCCCTTCACTCCTCTCTTCGCAAGGCTCATGAACACTTACTATAATCCACTTCTCATATCCTACCTGTCTTCTAATCCGCATAATTCTTGAATTTTAAAGTTTATTCATTCCCCCTCTCCTCATTTTTTCCCATAGCTGATCCTTTAATATTACAGCTTCTCCTTTAACTCAAGTTTTCTCAGCTACAATTGATTTAACTTTAATTACTCATCCTCATTCCCGTTCCTTAGCTTTGTTTCGCTTAGTGGTATGAAATCCAGCTTCTTTCTATTCTTATCATTATTAACTAATCAATTCTTTCTTTTCATGTGTAATCTGACGTACCTTCAAACAGCCCATTTGCAGTCTTTTGTTTATTCTTTTTAGGTCTCAATTTAGGAGACCGGGTCACTAGCTCTTTGTTCTCAGTAGTGTTGTCGAATATTATCAGAGGTATTGTTGACAGAGGAACAATTCTTACCCATCTCCCCGTGAAAGTGAAAGCAAACACTACAAGGTTAACAATATTATAAAATTGGAAGAAACACAGAAGACTGTGTACAGAAATTCATGAAGATTGAGACACTTATGCAGCATATGGGAATCTTTATTCAGGAAACGTTTCGCCACACAGTGGCTTCATCAGTCCAATACAAAGAGGAAGGCGTAAGGAGAGGAGGAGAATGAGGTAATCAGTCCCTCAACCTGGAGTCGATGTGTTCAGTCCATCAATCTTGTAGAATGTAGAATGTGTGTGTGATGAATGGTTTTTCAAACCATTCATCACACACACACAGAAATTCATGTTCAGTCTCCTGTGTAATGCATACAGGGTGTGTTACAAAAAACGCGATTTCTAATAATGATAGAGTTCTCCAGTGAACACTAGAAAGGACTGCCCTTCTAGCATCCAGCCTGTTACTGGGTTTTTGTAACAAGTAGTCAATATCCTGGTCCAAATATCCATTAGAATTCAGTAAGATTCCATAGTGCTTCAGGATTACAACTGGTAGTCTACTAACTAAATTGTTAGTAGCCTACCAGTTAGTAGCCTAGTAGAAATAGGACCAGTAGGTAATGGAGGAGTAGGGACTCTAACGAATGAGTCTGGACGGTCCTTAAGTCGGACACTTTGTCCAGCCATCCCTAGAGAGTCTAGATCTGGTCTAGGATAAGTAGATACAGGTGTAGCATGCACGGTACTAGTATGAGGCTGAGTCATACTACCAACTACACTCTGTACTATTGTGTTAATCAGGCGGGAAGGTGTGAGCGTGATACACTAGGTTCAGAAACTTCTGCCATAGTTGCTCTCTCTTCTACATCATAAAATAGTCATACTTTCTAATAGTGACACTATGCTCTCTGTATCTGAATCATAATCAGACATCTCTGTATGAGCAGGAAACAGTATATCTTTAATTAACGCTCTGACAGTTTCTGCGGTGTAATTCCTGTTATACGTCACACCGAGATACTTGGCTACTTGCCAACACGTCTGAAGCTTTAATGTACTCAACTCAGACAAAGTCAGAGTATCAATTAACTGTTTCACTTTGACATAAATCACGAAAATAAGTGCACTATGAGAGAGTGATTATGGGGAACTATAATCCTAATCGGAATATTAGTGTACCTTGGATCAAAAGATTCCTGGACAGGCCCCCATTTGTTACAAAAAATACAATATCTAATAATGATAGAAATCACCAGTGAATACTAGAAAGGACTGCCCTTCTAGCACCCAGCCTGTTACTGGGTTGTTGTAACAAGTAGTCAGTATCCTGGTCCAATTATCCATTAGAATTCAATAAGATTCCATAGTGCTTCAGGATTATAACTGGTTGGCTACTAACTAAAGTAATTAAAATTTAATAAGTTTATTAATAATAAAATCGTCAAGGCATATAAGATCAAAGTAAATTACAGTAACCAAAATAATCAAAATAATCACTTCTCTCGTGTACAGTAGTATTGTGCTGAAAGCACATATCACATCTTAATGGCTTTTAAGTACCATCTGGTACATTGTTAACATTTAATAACATAATACAAATAAATACAAATAAGTTTGTGTGTATGTGTGTAAGTGCTCTAAGTAGTTTGCTATGTCTCAAGACTTGACTAGACTTAACCAGTGACTGACTAAAAGTCCTCACATAAACTAACTTCTTGACCACCTGGCAATCAGAACAGCTTGCTTGAACAATAAAACGACTGATAAGCCAAACAGCAATATAACACGCAACAGTGATGCAGAATCGGGAACAAGGAGATAATATTATGACACTAAGTAGGGACCATCTGCAGATCCTCCACAAGTCACAAAACTCCATTACTACTGAATCTAAGTTCAGCATTAGGAAAATCCCCGACTGTGACAGTACACAGATACCAGTACAAATTAGGTCAGAAGCTACAGCTCAGGACCTGAGTTTCTCACAGTGTCTATGTGACACAACCTCAGTACAACGTCGAAAATCACTAAGTCTAGACTATGTTCTGTGAACAGAGTT